TCAGTTACACTTTGTTGATCATTTATGTCAGTTAATACTTTGCTAGAGGATTTAACCAGTTCTTTTTACTCCAGAAGATATAGAAAATGGTTATGTTGGTGGGAAAATTACTCCTAGTGGACACAGTGGCTAGCTTAAAGAATACTACCATTTGCACCTAGAAAGGTCAGAGATAAGAGATACGAGAGAGTGGTAATGATTTATTAGCCCAGTACATAAGAACTACAGGTGCTGAAAACTAAGTTAAAACCAGTTTTTTCATCTAAAAACTAAGTTAAAAACTAAATAGAACCCCATGTAGGATTTTGGACTTATAATGTTATTTAATGTGCTGAAGGAGATTGTGACAAATATTTGCTGAGCTTCTACTATGTCTCAGGCACCGTGCACAGGGAGGTAATACAAGAATAAGTAGAACACTTGTAGCCTTTGGCTCACTGTAACACACAAGAAAGATACACAAACTGTTAATCACAATACTTTGTAAAAAGAGATATGACTAATGTAAGCAATGCATAATAGAAAAGTACATTAAAAGCATATCTAAATATACCCAATTACATAATTTTTAAATATAAAACCAGTTCTGTAGAAATTACAATAAATTGTCAGAAAATGAAAATATAAATGTTATATCTTTTATAATAAAAATATGGCTAAATATTAATGAAAATCAGAATATAAATGACAATTATATCAACATTTTGGAAAAGAATTGGGAGGCCACATATCAAAATATATAAAGAAACATTTATAAATATGCATGAAGTCTGAAATGAATTATGGGGAATCAAAACAATTATGTTAGCTCTGAGTATCACTTTTTTTTCTTTTGTAAAGTATTTCTAATTTTAAAATTAATAAATAAAATTAAATTTTTGGTAGCATGGAAATCATCATTCCTTATTTATCAATTATTTTCATATGATTTTTAATGTTAAATAATATCTTACATTTTAATGCCAAAACTGTCAAACATCATTAACCACAGAAATGCTTAAAATTATGGTAAATTAAACAATTTTACTAGAAGAATTATGTCTCACTTCTCCTCTGGAGAAGTTATAATTGTTTTAGTAAAAACAATTTCTATTTCCAAGTCACATTTCTCTCAGTACATCAAATGCGTTTGGGTGAGTAAATTCTGAAACAGGAAATTCATTTGTATTTCTTGCTTGTACAGCTTTCTAGCTTCTAAGTTGCAATACCCCCTTAAACAATAGGTTATACAACTGCATGAAGTAGGAAAAATTTAGAAGCTTTCTCTATACATTTCTGGATATAAGTCAGGATTTTTAAAATACATTTTCCTAAGTAAAATAAACATCACAAAGACAAAAATGAACAACAAAACAATTTAATTTTTCTGATAATTTTTTGATAATTGTTTGGATAGTTCTGGTATGCTTCATTAAATTGTCACATTCTATACTGATGTGTGAATTGCTAAATGTTATGCTTATATGCTATGTTTTGAATAAGCTGGAAGTTAATCTTTAATTATTAAGACAGCATATTAGGTGATAAGTGCATTGCTCTGATGTTTACTATATTACAATAATCAATATGATTAACTCATTTACACAAACTAATTAAAATTTCATTGCATTTCACTGAAAGTTAGATTATTAATATTTAAACTAAAAATTTTACGTAAGAACAAAAAGACAATGTTAATAATTTATCCTGTTTCAAGAATTTCATAGGTGAAAATCATGCTTCAAAACTCTCTTCTAATGAATTCTTAATAAATATGCAAAGCCAACACATTTTAAAACCCTGTGACAAGTTAGAGTCTAATAAAAGGAGAGATACATTAGCAACATATTCTCGTTCAAGTTAGTCCATAAACATTACATGAGGTAAGGACTAAATTAATAAAGGATACGTTATGTTACTGTTACCATATGACAGCTGTTACAATTTTAAGTTATATCAAGGTAAAAATAGATTAATATAAATTAAAATAGGATTTTGGATGACTAGTAGAACATTTTACAATTAATATTTATGAAAACTTTTTATAATACTGGATATGAAACATCAGTAAAAGACGTTAAGGAAGATTTGAAAATTTTCTGAATAATTTATTATTCAATAAGAGAGTATATACCAAATCTAGAAAATAAGGCAGTTTTGTCTAACTTGAATAGAGCTGTGAGTGAGAAAAAGAAACATTTACCACTCCCACACTGTTTTGGAAATGTTTAGAGCAAAGATGTAATAAAAGAATACAAACACAAGGCTGCCTACCTCAGTTAATTTGGGGAGAATATTTTTTGGGGAAAGGAGTTAGTTACTACATTATTACTCTGTGGTAATGGGAAGAAAAAAACTCATAAAATTGGAGGTCCTTTATTTGGAGCTACATTTGCCACTAAATAATTCAATACACTACATAGTTTAATACGCTTAATAGTTCAATGCCTCATAGTTCGAATATCATAGGCTTTCAATCCCTGAGCAGTTTGCATCCTGGTGCCAGCACAGTTAAATAGTAGTCAGATATTTAATTAAGACCACAGACATGTTGAGATAATTAGCTAGTCATATATAGAAAACACATAAATTGATACCACAAAATTTACTCTTACATACTGAACACCAACTCTTATCTTACATAATATATAAAACTTTACTCAAAATGGATCATAGCTCTGAATGTAAAAGCTAAAATTAGACAATTTCTGGAAAAATATTAGAAATTTTCTTTGTCATCTAGTGTAAAAGAAGTTTTTTTAGAAGTAGGAAAAATATTTTAACAGACACTTGGCAAATCAAAGATTGATGAATGGCCAATAAGCATATAATAAAATGTTTAGCAGGAAAATGGGTTTCAATTTATGGTATGTCTGTGTGATGATATACAATACAACAAGTAAAAGGAAATGAATTACTACTGATAAATACAACACGGATGAATCTCTGAAACTTTTCTTGTGTGAGATGAAATAGACAAAAGTAGTGCATACTCCATAACTTCACTTATATAAAAATCCAGAAAATTTTAAAAATCCAGAAAATTTAAAAAAATATATAGTGACAAGAGGCTTGTCTGCAGCCAGGAGCACATAAAGAGATAGGTTGAAAAGGTGTATAAGGAATCTTTGGCATGATAAAGATGCTTGTCATAATTGTGGTAATGGTTCCACAGGTATATTAGAACTCAGATTTCATAGCGTCTTATCTTGTTAATGGATTAAATTTATTTTACATAAGTTACACCTCTAAAACTTTTTAAAATTGTACTTTAGGTTCTGGGGTACATGTGCAGATCATGGAGGATTGTTGCATAGGTACACACATGGCAATATGGTTTGCTGCCTCCATCCCCCCGTCACCTACATCTGGCATTTCTCCCATGTTATACCTCCCCTACCTCCCCAACTCCCCCGCTGTCCCTCCCTTGGCCCCCACAACAGACCCCAGTGAGTGATGCTCTCCTCCCTGTGTTCTCATTGTTCAACACCCGCCTATGAGTGAGAACATGCGATGTTTGATTTTCTGTTCTTGTGTCAGTTTGCTGAGAATGATGATTTCCAGATTCATACATGTCCCTACAAAAGACATGAACTCATTGTTTTTTATTGCTGCATAGTATTCCATGGTGTTTATGTGCCACATTTTCCTTGTCCAGTCTATCATCAATGGACATTTGGGTTGGTTACAGGTCTTTGCTATTGTAAACAGTGCTGCAATGAACATACGTGTGCATGTGTCTTTACAATAGAATGATTTATAATCCTTTGGATATATACTCAGTAATGGAATTGCTTGGTCAAATGGAATTTCTATTTCTAGGTCCGTGGGGAAGCACCACACTGTCTTCCACAATGGTTGAACTAATTTACACTCCCACCAACAGTGTAAAAGTGTTCCTATTTCTCCACATCCTCTCCAGCATCTGTTGTATCCAGATGTTCTCACTCTGTTGCCCAGGTTGGAGTGCAGTGGCATGATCTTGGTTCACTGCAACCTCTGTCACCCAGGTCCAAGAAAATCTCTTACCTCAGACTCTCAAGTAGTAGAGATTACAAATGTAGGCCCCTACATCTAGATAATTTTTGTATTTTTAGCAGAGAGGGGGTTTCACCATATTAGCCAGGCTGGTCTAGAACTCCTCACTTCAAGTGATCTACCTGCCTTGGCCTTCCAAAGTGCTGGGATTACAGGCATGAGCCACTGCACACAGCCAAATTCTATATATATTAAAATACATAACACATAGTTAACACTTTGAACAATTATCTTTAAAAGATTTTTTAAATATGTATTTATTGCTATATTTAACATTTCTCATGCTCTTTATTATTTTGTGTAGATGCAAATGCCATTTGCTATTATTTACCTGCTGATGACAAAATGTCCTTTAACACTTCTTGCAGTATAGGTCTGCAAATCAGCTTTTGTTTAAAAAATGTTTAATTCACCTTTATTTTTCAAAAAATATTTTGATGAATATAGAATTAATTAGATTTTTTTCTCAATAACTTTAAGATACATTTTTATGAATTATTTTTAACAAGAAGCCTACTGTCAGTTTATTTTTGTACATAGTATATTATTTTTCTCTGGCTCTTTTAGAGATTTTTTCATTAAGCTTCTTTCTTATATTGGGAGCTTATCATTTTAAAAAAAATTGACAAGCTTTTAATTATTATTTTTGTAACTATTCTCTTTTCTTTTCTTCAATGGGGCCTAATTATAATTCCATTGCACAACTTGATACATTCTTATAGGAAATTGGTATACTGTGAGAATTTTTTCAATTTTTTTATGTTTCATTGGAATCATATCCATTATTATGTCTTCAGGTCTACTGAATTTTTTTATAGTATTGTATATTTTTATCTAAGGAATATATATTTTTCTAGTTTTGATGATAATTATGTTTTTTTCTGTCTTCTTGAATACATTTAGCATATTTAACAGCTTTTTAAAAACTCTTGTATACTAATTTTACTATCTGTGTTATTTTTAGTTTTCTTTTGAGCTATTGAATTATCTATGAACTGTGTTATATTTTCCTGGTTGATTTTTTTTGGCATTTTTTGACTGGATGCCAGATACTGTAAACCTTATATTGATGATAGCTAGATTTTGTTATTCTTTTTAATAGTATTGGGCTCTGTTGTGCTGGTACACAATTAAGTTACTGAGAGTCAGTTTACTTTATTTTAGGCTTGCTTGTATAGAACTTATTTGCCTTATACTAACACAATACCTTTCTGGGAATTCTTCCCAGTATTTGTGTATTCATTACATTTTGGCTAAGCATGTCCAAAACTATTTGTGGAATCTAGGAATTGTTTGGCTTACTGTTTTCTTATGGTTCTTTCCCTGGTGTTCAGTGGTATTCTTTCATACATACATATATCTGTACAGATCAGTACCCAGCCAGCCATAGCGTCAAGGGACTCTCTCAGCACATCTTCAGAATTCTCTATCAATCTCTCCCAATCCCAGCTCTCTGGCACTAAGCTACTCAAAACACAAAGTTCTGTTTTCTTAACTCAGTAATACGTCAGGCTTTGTTTGCATTCCCTGTCTTGCACTGCAGTGAGAAAACCGTTTTCAGATAATAATTCAAAAGAATTTACAGGACATACCTTTGTTTTTAACACTTCTCAAAGAATCATAGTCCTATACTGCATTTTGTCCAATGCCTGAAAAAAATTAGTTCATATATATCTTTCTGTCTTTTGATCTTATTTTTGCAGAAGGAGAGAAAGTAAATTTAACCGATTACTCTGTCGTAGATAGAAGGGGAAGACGTATTATACACATTTCTTGTATATATAAATTCCCTTTGAGCTTGAATCCACTAAACCTAAACATACCAGACATTAGAAAACAAATAAAAGGACATGTATAAAGAAACAAAATAAATAATGAAATATATGTGAGTTTAGCTTTTTAATGACTTGGGAAGTGAGGTTTAGAAAACCACTTTTTGATGTTCCTAAATGGCTCATCATATAATCAACAACAATCGTTTTTGTGTTTTCATGTTTCCTATAGCTACTAAGTGCCAGGCTTGATACAATTATGTATACTTAAATAAATTTTACATCAGATCATCTTTTGTAGAGGACTACAAAAAAAGTTCCAAAATTGGCAACCTTCAATTTTCTTTAAAAGTTTGAAATATGAGTATTTTGTTTGTCTTTAACCAAAATAACAAAAGTTGCAAAATAACATAACACAATTAGGATAATAAATCATAATCAGCATATCTTGATTTACATTATATTTTAATTTCTTGAAAATTATATATTTCTAACTTGCTGACAGCCAATTTTAAACACTTGATAAACTATTTATTCTCTAATGTATTTCTCCTATGATTTATCTTTGATTGTAATGTAAGGAAAAAAAAAAAAACAGCTGCATTCTCCACTTGTGAAAGAGTGTTTCAATAAATGAGACAAGCAACATCAGTAATAAAGCAATTTACTTCTTTACAAAAATGACTATCTCTATTTAAAATCAAAACTGTAGCTATTGGTAGAGCCTTGCAGGTGGTATGGCTAAAGTGCAACTCTCTGGGAAATTAGGTTGCCACTGTATTAGCAATATTATATTGAGAAGGGCATACTACAATTTCTGTGGAAAACATTTAAGAGCTTTCCTTTTGAATTCACTACGAAGAAACTATCTCATTTCACTTGGGTCACTGATACCAGGTAAGTGACAGAATGTGGTCCATTTCTGCTACTGCAGACAATTAATTTCTACTTCTCAATGTAGGCAGAGATTCCAGAGCATTCTTTAATTATATAGAGAAAGAAATTTAATAAATCCATACAGTTGATACAAAAAAACGATATTGTGTATTTTAAGGTTGTTATGTTTTTAGTAGTTAGGGGTTGTGGAAATAGATAGAACATGTTCCAATGAGACGCTCACAACCCCCCTCATACAAACTTCTTTTGTTGTTAACTATCACAAGTTAGACTACTACAAAAATTTTCCAAAGTGTCTTCAGAGCTAACTGAATTTTTTAGCATCGACTAAATCTATAAGATTCTATCATTAAACATTGTTTAATGTTGTACACTGGAGAAACTAAACAATTATTCAACAGTGATACGTTGACTACAAACCTGGAACCATATTATTTCACTAATATTTTGATATTAAAAATCAAGGCATCAGTTATTTATGAATTGAGGTATGTATCTTAAATTTACATATACTAATGCTTGAATAGTATTGTGTTAATATTTCATTGAAATACTTATAGCTTATATTTGTGTACCATTCAACAGTTTATATTATATATATATAATGTTATATTATTATACATATCACTATATTTAATAACTATATAAGATACATAGGAAAGAAAATAGTATTCTATGAGATGTGACACCATTAATTTCAGAAGAAGGAGAATAGCCTAATACTATATATCTAATCAATTGCAATCTTTCTGTTTTGCTGGACTGTGAAAAAGGGTAAATTTTACAGAATAACTGTCAGAATAAAGTCATTATTATTACAATAATACACCATATTTGGGAAGCAAGTTTACAAAAGGAGGAGGAAAATGAATAAAAAGGAAAGCTTATAAATTAATAGAGAAAGAAGATATTTACATAGCACTTTCCAATGAACTTACATGTTCTCATCAATATTGCATCCATTATCTTTTTATAATATAAACTCAAATTGATTTCAGTTCATTTAAACATGTTTACTATCTTGTATTTGGAGAAATTCTGTATTATGGGTGTGTCAGCATTCTTGTCAACTTGTCTGAGCTGCTAAATGCTCAGCAGATACGTATTTATCACAAGTTTTATATCCCCAGAGGTTTGAGACTTCAGAACAAATTAAAGAATATTTCCAAAATTGCCAAGTGGTACAATAAATAATTGTTTTTTTTTTTTTTTTTTTTTTTTGAGACGGAGTTTCGCTCTTGTTACCCAGGCTGGAGTGCAATGGCGCGATCTCGGCTCACCGCAACCTCTGCCTCCTGGGTTCAGGCAATTCTCCTGCCTCAGCCTCCTGAGCAGCTGGGACTACAGGCACGCGCCACCATGCCCAGCTAATTTTTTGTATTTTTAGTAGAGACGGGGTTTCACCATGTTGACCAGGATGGTCTTGATCTCTTGACCTCGTGATCCACCCGCCTCGGCCTCCCAAAGTGCTGGGATTACAGGCTTGAGCCACCGCGCCCGGCCAATAATTGTTAACAACATAAAACTTAAGCTTAATTTAAATTTAAAATAACTTATCTTAAAAGGCAACTTAAAAGGCTCCTTCTTGATTTTATAAAGCCTACAAAATGTTAGTTAGGCTACAACTATGAGTATAATGCCTATCCGATTATCTGGGGTGGAACAGCTTCATCCAGAAACCATCCATCCCTATTTATCCACATTCATGAAAAAAATTTATTGTATGAAACCGAAACCAATCCTTGGTGCCAAAAATGTTGGGGACCACTGATCTAAGCTATACAGTATAACAACTACTTACATAGCATTTACATTGTATCATCTAGAGATGATTTAAAGCATCTGTAGATTTTGAAGGGGTCCTGGAGCCAGTCCTAGATGGATACCAAGGGATGACTGTATTACCAATGAATATGTGAAAACTGAAATTAAAAATTACCATCACTGCTTAAAAGGATAATATACCATGACCATGTAGACTTTATCTCTGGAATAAAAGATTAGCTTAATATTCAAAATTGATTTAATTAACAAATTAATAGATTTAATTAACAATATTAATAATATGATATTGGTATTATAATATTCTATTACATTATATATTATTATGATATATATTGTTATAATGAAATAATAAAGAATATTAATTAATTTAATTAATATTAATGAAATAAATGATAAAAATATTGGTGCATTTAAATGCATACATAAAATTTCAGAAAAAAGGCAACACTCATTTACAATACACACTCAACAAATTAGCAATAATAGGGACCTTCTTCCTCAACCTGATAAAATGAATCTGAGAAACACCTACAGACTTTGCTTTTCAAGTGGGGAAAACCTGATTCCTTTCCTCCTGAAATCAGGAATATGGTAATAATGCCTACTTTTACCATTCCTATTCAAAATTTTTCTGGGATGGTGGTTGTAATTTTTATAATAAGGTACAAAATAAAGACAAACAGGAAAGGAAGAAGTAAACTTTTTACAGATGGTGTAATTATTTAAATAGAAACATTCTACTTTGGGAGGCCGAGGTAGGCAGATCACGAGGTCAAGCGATTGAGACTATCCTGGCCAACATGGTGAAACCCCTTCTCTATTAAAAATACAAAAAAATTAGCTGGGTGTGGTGGCGTGCGCCTGTAGTCTAGCTACTCTGGAGGCTGAGGCAGGAGAATTGCTTGAATGCGGGAGGAGGAGGTTGCAGTGAGCTGAGGTCATGCCACTGCACTCTAGCCTGGCGCCTGGTGACGGAGTGAGACTCTGTCTCAAAAAAAAAAAAAAAATAAGAAAGAAAGAAAAAGAAAAATTCTGTAGAATCTAAGACAAACACATAAAAAACTACTAGAACTCATAAAGGAATGTGTCAAAGTCTAAAGACAGAATGTCAAATACAAAAAGAATTGTATTTTTATTGACTAGTGTCAAACTATCATAAAATAAAGTATTCAAAAGTTTATTTACCGTTTCAACACAAAATATAAAATAGGAAGAAGTCTAACAAAAAAATGTATAAGATCTCTACAATGAAATCTACAAATCATAAATGAGAGAAAAAAGATGACCTAAGTAAATGGAGAAATACAGAATATTCATGGACTAAATCACTCAATGTGTTAAGATAACCATCCCAATGAACTATATAGTAAATGTAATTCTACTTACACAAATTGATTAATTGATTCCAAAAAATGATACTAAATAAGAAGAGAAAGTTGAAAGACTTATTCTGCCTTCAAGAATAAAGCTACAAAAATTAAAACTATGTTATTAGTGAAAAGACAGATATGTAAATCAATGTAATAGAATGAAGCATACAGAAGTAGGCCTCCTCATGTACAGTTAACTTATTTTTGACAAAGGTGCCAAAGTTATTTCATTTAATTTGTGTGGATAAAGATTGAGAGCTGGGCACAGTAACTCATGCCTGTAATCCTAGCACTTTGGGAGGCTGAGGCAAACAGTTCAATTGAGCCCAAGAGTTTAAGACTAGCCTGGGCAGCAGGGTGAAACCCCGTCTCTACAAAACATACAAATATTAGCTGGGCATGGTGATGTCCACTTGTAGTCTTACCTACATGGAAGGCTGGGATGGGAGGATCACCTGAGCCTGGGAGGTCGAGGCTGCGGTAAGCCATATGGCACCACTGAGCAAGGGTGAGATCCTGTCCAAAAAAAAAAGAAAGAAAGATTGAGCATTCTCCCCATCTTACACCATGCACAAATTTAATTTTTAAAATGAAAAATTTCTAAAAGAAAAAGAAAGGAAAAATTTGTGATCTTGTAAAAAAAATTTTACATAGGCTAAATAAAACATGAAATATAAAAGTAAAAACATAAATTATGACTCCATTTTAAAAAATGCTCTTCCCAAGATACCATTTATACAATTAAGACAAAAGGAATTTAGTGGCCAGGTATTGAGGTAGTGATTGGGGTGAGCCAAACCAAAAGACACAATGAAATCTTTATTCATTTACCACGTGTATTTATTTGCTTGAGCTGTCATAACAAAGCACCACAGACTGGGTGGCTTAAACAACAGAAATTTAATTTTTCACAGTTCCTCAAGCTGTGTCTCTGAGATTAATGTGTTGGCAGGATTGTTTCTTCTGAGGGCTGTCTCCTTGGCTTGTAGATGATCATCTTTTCCCCATGTCTTTCATGCCCCTCCCTGTATGGGTGGCTTTGCCCTAATTTCCTCTTCCTATAGAAATACCAATCATATTAGATTAGGATCCATCCCAAAGACCTCATTTGTCTTTAATTACCTTTTTAAACACCTTATCTCTAAAGACAGTCATATTCTGAGCTACTGGTGGTTAGGACTTCAACATACAAACTGGTGAGGGAGGAAACACAATTCAGCCCATAGCACTTCAACGGTGAAGGTGAGAGGCAAAGAGAAAGAAAAAAAGTTCAGGCTCCCAGTGTTACATTTTCCTCCACAAAATCGTTCTGGGCAAGGGTCAGTCAGATGCCTTGCAGTGCAAGTAGGGGAATAGTCTCATGGCTGATAATCCTGAAAACAGTGAAAACCTTCTTATACACCCAGGTAGCCAGAAGGAAGGTGAGAGGAATGTGCCAGGAATGGAAACTATTAAGGCAGAGTGGAGAAAACATCTAGTCAAGCCTTCCTGATAAGGTTTCAGTAGAAGCACCTGAAATATATCCAGCCTCAGTCCCCTCATAATGAGGCCTCTGCATGGAGGCACCTGTGCTAGGAATGCCAAAAAAGCACACGAGCACGGCTGGCCCAGGACTCTGGGGCTGCATCTTTGACTGCACTTCCTCTATATTTAAACTGTCAAAAATACAATGTATACATGAAAGTCCACATTCTTAATACATTTTGGATGTATAATCTAAAAGTAACTAAAATTAAATTGTCAAGGTACTAATAAAGGAACTATAGAAAGAAACAAAATCCACCTAAATGAGAACAAGCAAGGGCTATTGATTCAGAGCTTCCCATATAGCAATGGAGGGAGACACCATTCCTTGTGTTTGGCAGAGACTCAAAAGCAGGCACACAAGTGGCTAAGTTTTGTATAGAATAAAAGGAAGACAGCAAATATGCTCTGATTGGAGGCTGTTGCCATGGGAAAGCTATAGGCAGGCTAACTACAATCAAGGGCATGCTCTGTGATTGGTTATGGAAGCATATTTGACTTTCTCTCATTGGTCCTAAGTTGGAAGTAGGAGCAAAAATTAGAGAAGCTGTCACTTATTGATCATGTCTTGGCTGCTTTGGGCCAATGGCTACTGGGATTGTTGTTCTGCTTCCTGAACTGGTTGCTATAGGATGAGGGTCAGAGTTCTCTTTTTATATATGGTGTGACTATTGTCTGTATATTCAGTCTCTCAGAGAAAGCAGAAAAATATTAGCTCAGGACTTTATGACCAAATTATACTGTCAGTTTCTGAATAAATCCCAACTAATGAATATTATTTTGCATTTTCTTCTCAGAAACTAGAGTTTATACATGCCTTATAAATTAGAATTAAAATTACACTGTAAAGTAGAAAAATGTTCAGAAAGCACAAATTAAGTGAAATATGCATAAATATACCATACAAATACTAAGGAAGAAAAATCTGAGCCTGGAATTTCACAGAGTATAGTGAATAGCAATGCAAACCATAAATAATGAAAAATAAAAGGTTGACAGGTCTGAGATCCTAATAAGCTATAATTTTTAATTCATCATGCCGCATTCAGAAAAAAAATATGTGTAATAGCAACTTTTAGCATGTTGGAGAAGGCATATATTCCAAGGTACTGATAAAATTAACAATCAAAGAACAAACAAAACTTTCAGCTGTCTCTCAGCCAGGGTAATGTAAATGTAAATTGCATTGCTCTTTTTTATGTGAAAGAATGAAAAATGCAGAGAAGAGATAGTAACATTTTACTTTAAACACTAAAGCACATTTCTCATGCTTTGATAGTTTGGTATGATGATTAATTGCACAGTCTCTGAAATGAGACTACCCAAGGTCAAATCCTATCTTTGCCACTTATAAGCTAGCAGTTTCTCTTCATGACATGGGATTCTTGTCATGATTATGTAACCCACATCTGAGACATTTAACATGAAACCTATCACCTGGGTTGTTAATACCTCTTCAATGTTTTCTATAAATGTGTTATTTACATGAGAAATAGATACTGCATACCTAATGCTTTACAATCACAATTTAAAATGGGGATACAATAGTAAACCAAATAAACAGAGTTCTTGGTTTTATTGAGGCTTCGTTCAAGAACCCACATCTCATCTTGAATTGTAATTGCCATAATCCTCACATGTGGAGGGAGGGACCGGACGGGAGGTGAATGAATCAAGGGGGCAGTTTTTCCATGCTGCTCTCCTGATAATTAGTGGGTTCTCATGATATTTTATGCTTTTTAAAAAGGCTCTTTCCTCTTCACTCATTTGCTCTCTCTTGCCTGCCACCATGTAAGACCTGCCTTTGCTTCTCTCTCACCTTTCACCATGATTGTAAGTTTCCTCAGGCCTCCCAGCCATGCAGAACTATGAGTCAATTAAACCTCTTTCCTTTATAAATTACTTTGTCTTGGATATGTCTTTATAACCATGTGAGAGCAGACTGATACATCTATATCATATGTTTTCTATGCAATTTAAATAAATTAATATAGGCAAATTGCTTAGAACAGTATCTGGTATAAATACTACATAATGAATGTTGCTATTATTTTCCTATAACTATCCTATATCTGCCTGGTCTAATAGTTTCTGAGATAAGTGTGTTAAAATATCCAACTATTTACGTTGATTTATACATTTCTCCATGTAATTCCATAAGTTATCACTTTGTATATTTGGAAGCATGTTTTCAGATGACCATATGATATTCAATAATCATAATTATACAACACTAAAATTAATCAATGACACATGAGAACAAATGAGAAGGTTCAGCCAAATTCTTAAATATGTGAAGAATGAA